TTCATGCTAAGGCTATACATGCTAAAGCTACCTCGGGGCCCCTCATTTGGCCGCCTCCTCTCGTGATCCGTGTAGAAAGCGTACGCGTGTAACCAGGTGGCGGTCGTCATTGGTAACCGGCTCCGCCTCCTGTTTAAGGTTACGTGGAGCTGGGGGCCAGATGCATGCGCTCTTTTATTCTAATGAGTTATTTCTGCCTGATGACCCAGACCTTTGCATCTCAATGAGGATAAGCATGAACTCCCTCACCCCCCCGGCGTACCCCTCGTTCGCCCGTGTCCGTGGAGGTAAAACGAGATTGCGCTCAGGTTACAACACGAGACGCCATGTTGGTTTGGGGCACAGGGGAGCAGGGCGTAAGATCACTGTGATGTGGTTTGCTGCTTTGATAATCGACTCCAGAGGTTAAGAGTACAGTCAATACAGTGAATGAATAAAACAAGACAATAGCCTGTACAAAACAGGACTATATCGGGACTAAACTAAATAAAATTTTGGTGTAAAATATGACCAAATCAGAAATTATGGCTAAACATGCAATATAATAAAACTAATACGAAAGACAAATAAAACTGGACTAACTTTAGACTAAACCAGGATTAAACCAGGACTGAATTGGGACTAAATCAGAATTTACTCAGGACTTAATCAGGATCAAATCTGGACTAAACAAAGACTAAACTATGAGTAAGACATAGGGCGCTTTCACACTGCTAGTTTTTATTATTTCGTCTGTACCAGGCAATAAAACTGGTCTTATATAGCATATAGACTCCAGTGTGGTCCATTTTTTACACCTGCAAATGAACTAAAACTTTTCCAATTGACATATATCCAAGGCTCCTGCGCTTAACAGGTTTGACTGCACGTGGCTCAGGGACTCTGAGGCTTTCCCATACGCCAGACATCTCAGAAACAAAGCCGAGACGCATCATCTCTCTCAGTGGCATTCCCATTGGAGCCGCGGGGTACGCCTCCCTGCCCCTGGGAGCTCGGACTCACAAACCTACGGACCGCTAGCCATTGGGCAGGCGCATGCCCATGATGCATTTCAAATAGTTCGTTTGCACCTTCTGTCTATGGTTTGGACCCAACTTGGCGTTCGCACCAGAGGGACCGCACCAGAGCCAAGTGGACCGAGACCACCTGTTTTTTTTTTGTTTTTTTTGGTCTCTGTCCACTTGATTTATTGCGGATCCAAGTGTGATTGATGCTTTCACACCAACGAAAACGAACCGAACTAAGAGCTTATCCAGATGGAACGTTTGGTGCGCATCAACTGCTGTCCGTGTGAAAGCACCTGAAATTTGTAATAAACCTGGGTTAACCTAAACTAGGTTTGAACCAAGATTAAACCAGGATTGAATCAGGACTAAGCAGACTAAATAAGAGGACTAAACAATGACTAAACCAAGAATAAACCAGGACTAAACCAGAAATAAACCAGGACTTTAGTTCTGGTAAAGTCCTGGTTTAATTCGGGTTTAGCTCTAATTTAGTCCTGGACCAGATCTAAACCATGACAGCACTACTAACCCAGGATTAAATTAGAATCAAACCAACTAGGATCAAATCGGAACACAACTAAGACTAAACCAAGTTCAAATCTGGATTAAATCAGGAATATCTTTGGTTGTGTACTGTGTGTTTGAATTTCCAGGATCAATAAAGTATCTGTCTGTCTGTCAACTAAACCTTAACCAAACTATGAAAACAATACCAATCTGAACTAAACTAGATCTAAACCAGAACTAAATCAGAACTAAACCAGGTCTACACCAGGACTAACAACAGGAAGTGTACAGTATATACAGCAGCTGTCCTCTCCCTTGGCTTGAGTGGAAAAACCCACTCCTCCATAGACTCTTATTAGCCCTTTCTTTGATGCTCTTCTCGTTTTGCACCAGGCGATCTCACCACCGCAAACATAATTATTTCTACCACTGGGTCAATCCTGCCTCTTTAACGCGCTGTGGAAATGCCCATAAAGAACAAACAGCTCCCCCTCTCCTCTGATTTAAAAATAACACCGTTTCTATCACGACCAACCAGACCAACCAGTAGAGGGGCCATGGTTTGACTCGAGGGTTAGTGACAAGATACTAGCATCTGTTGTGAAGACGGTTTTCAGCTAATTAGGGAGAAAGTTACATATATAAGCTTTAAATGTGCTGTATTTCGACTCTTCTGGGCTTTAAGATGTGTTATATGAACCAAAACACAACTCCAGATCTGTTTGTGATGAGTAAACATTATAACATAGATCACAAAATAGCAGAATCATGAGCTCTTTAAAATGCAATAAGCTCCAAGGGAAAAAGTAGCTGAGAAAATGAGGTCTTTGCACCCGACATGAAAACAATTGTTATTTTTGAACAACAGCTTTGTAATGCGCGTCCGTGTGGCTAGCTGTAATTGTGGTTTTAATTAAAGGGATAGAGCGCAGCGCGTTTTGTGATGATCTGCAGACTAAATATTGTGATGAAACGCTGTGCAAAAGTTAATGTCCATAAAAGAAATAGAATATGCTTGCAAATATAGGAACTGTGGCGGCAAGAGTAGCTAAAAATGTACTTGTAAGAGGGATGTTAACTCAAAATAATAGTAAGTGGAAGTGCAAGTCCCAGAAATGACTTTCTTTTTTCTTTTTCTGTAAATCCTCTGACACTGTTTTCTACCTGCTGTTTACGCATGTTCTGTCTGTCTTTTTGTTAAATTTGAGTAACTTAAAGAGTAACAGTCTGATTTGTAGTTTGAGTTTAATATAACTGGAAGGATAAATGTGACGGATGCCGTCCTCGTTGTTTTTTTTCCTTGCCTCACCCCACCTCAGATCCACCCACCCCGGATCCGCCCCGCTGATCTGCCTCACCTGGTCCTACTAATCAGCGGGGGTATAAAAGCCGGAGCCAACCTGAGAAGTGTGACGAGTGGGTCCTCTGTTGCAGCGATCTTTAGTTGTTTATTTTTGTGTTATCTCTATCTACGTTTTTGTAATAAATATCCTTCTTTTTTTCACCTCACCACGCTTCCCGTTTTGTTCCACACCCGGTTCATTTTAACATCTTTTTCAGTTACCGTGCCACCCCCTAGGCTCCCGTGGCACGTAACAATAAAACATAAAATAATGCACAAAGCGTAGACAAAAATTAGGAAAAATTGAAGCTTTTGTCTCTTATAGACTTACTCACAGTGGGAGAATATACACAACTTTTACTCAAGTAAGAGTACTGTTACTTCAATAAAAATATTACACGAGTAGGAGTAAGAGTATGCTGCTAGAAAAGTACTCTGCAAAGTACAGTTTAATACAATACAGTAATACAATTTTAAAAGTTACTCAAGTAAATACAGTGGGAGAAATATTCAATTTTGTTACTTAAGTCAAAGTACAGACATCAGACCAAAAATACTTAAGTAAAAGTATCACATGTAAAAAAAAAAAAAACGTAAAAACTTAAAAGTATTAAAGTACCTGTTTAAAAGTGTACTTAAAGAGTACAAAGTAAAAGTATTTTGCACAGATTTTGTTAAATAGAAACGATGAAATTGATAGTTTTTTCCCTGGCTGTTTTGTGTTTGTGTATTTTTGTTTGCTCAAACTACAACTGTGTTAAAAATAAACTTTCAGCCTTTTCAGCAGGTCTCAAACTGTACAAATTACCTTTATCTTTCTGCCCTGTTCAAAAATGTCGTGGAGTAGAAAGTACAGACACCTGCCCTCAAATGTAGTGAATTAAAAGTCGCCTTTTATCCACTGTAAAATGTACTTAAGTAAAGTACAGATACCTACATTTTTCATATAAGTACAGCACTTTATTACTTTTACTTTGCCTTCCAGCACTGAGTAAGTATAACAGAATATACCAACGTCTGTATATGAATATAGGACCAGCAGTGTGGGGAATCTGTTGTGAGTTGTCATGCTGAGGTTATGGTTAAGGCTAATTGGCATGTCAAGTTTTAGCTATAGGGATTTCCTTGCTCCCCAAAACACGCAAAATAATTGAGTCCATACATGACCTTGGTCACTTTGGAGACTCGCTGTTGACATTTTGATAAGACAGAAGCTAATTAGCCCTTTAAAGGTTAGCTGTTATTGTCCATGGTGCATTTTATTAGTACTACCAAAACAATACTTTGCTATGACCTACTCAACTGTAACCATTTCTTACTTGTATGTACTGCATTTGCTGCATAATCAAGATAGCTGTATACTTGATGACAATAGAGTTGAAAACAAATGTGCAATAAATGTACCACAAAATATTTAAAGGGCCCTTATTCCGCTATTTTTTTGTTAAATTTATCAATGTTATGTTGTTTCCTCATCAAAAACAGACCTGGAGTTGTGTTTTGTTTCAGTCACGCATGTTTAAATGCATATTTAGGCTCTTAGAAGTTCTTCTCTCAAACAGAAAACACTCAGAAAATAACAAAATTTGTATTAATAAAACAATTTTCATATTACTAGTTAATATGTGACATTTTTAGGACATTTTAACATTCAAAAGATGTAATATTTTGTTTTTAAATTGTTAATCACTATGTCAGCGGTCTCAATTTTGTATTTCTCCAATATTTTGCAATTTTTTTTAGCTGAACGATGCATTATTTAACTTCTGTTGGTGGGTCCACAACCTGCTTGTTATTGCTATTGTCTTGAAAGTTCCACATTATAGCATTAAACTTGGAGACAAGCAGAAGACGCTACCAGGCGAAGTTACAAGTTGCACCCGTAACTGTATAAATGCAAGAAATACAGTAAAAGTCTAATGCTATAATCTGGGACATTCAAGGTAAAGCAATAATATCGGCATGGAAACAAGCTGAAAAGTTACACAGTGCACCTTTAAATGATAATTAAAATAAATTAAAATCCATGAAAATATCAGGGAACTTTGGTTAAATTTTGCCAAAGTAGAAGTAGTTTTTCCCAACATTATCTTGCATTATTAACAACTTTTATTAACTTCTTTTTTTTCTATTTTGTTTCACAGGTATTACAACTGTGCTCACCATGACAACCATCAACACCCACCTGCGCGAGACCCTGCCCAAGATCCCGTACGTGAAGGCCATAGACATGTACCTGATGGGCTGCTTCGTCATGGTGTTCCTGGCCCTGCTGGAGTACGCCTTCGTCAACTACATCTTCTTCGGTCGGGGGCCACAGATGCAGAAGAAGCTGGCGGAGAGGGCGGAGAAAGCCAACAACGAGAGGGCCAAGTATGACGCCGCAAGGGTAAGTACAGGGTTACTGCGTGGAGTTAGTTAAAAGTACTTTTCTAATAGTAAACATAGCATACCTGTGTCAGATTTGTAGTACTTGTAAATTGCAATACCAGAAATCTTGAATAGAGCGCAGTAGTAGTTCCGGCAGCAAAATGAAAGGTGCATTGCGTAGCTTTTCTGGTGGAGGGTCCGCTACCTGCTCGTCTCCATGGAGATGATATTGATTTGTCTAGAATGTTCCATGGAATTGCATTAAACATGTCCGTATAGGTGTTTCTGTTGCTCAAAAATACTTCTGTGAATAGTGGCGCCTCTCCACAGATCTGAGCTGTAATATAGTGTAGCGCTGTAACTTTCTTGTCTCCCATTGTTTTAATCTATACTTTGGAACATTCTAGACCAAGCAATAACATCTCCATGGAGACAAGCAGGTAGTGGACCCTTCAACAGAAAACTTGCACAGTGCACCTTTTAATATATTTTTTCTCCTTAGACATTTTTAAAATATATTAAGAGGTTAAAAGTTTAATGGAGGCTAATTAGTAATGGGGCAGTAACTTTTTATATTTAAATTGGGTCACTGAGCCTTAATTCTTTTTCAATGCTTTAATTAAACTTAAATTTTCTAAATTACCACGTATCACCCTAACCGATTAGCCTCTGTTGTATACTCTAAATATGAAATGTTTTCTTGTACGTCTATGGGAAAAAATAATGCAAGTGCTATTTTTAAGGTCTATGAGAGTTACTTTATGTACCTCATAAATACTATTGACAATAACAATATGACCACTTTCAGGTTTTCAGTTAGAAGCTAGATTAGGATAAATGGATATCTATACCTTTTACTGCTCTGCATAATCAAACTATATAAATGAAAAAAAATAAATTCACTAGAAAATATATTTAGACATCCACAACCCTGTTTTTATTATGAACCCATAGTGGAGCAGTGTAATCTCATTATGTGAAGGCCATCATCGCACTAAAGTGTTAAAATAAAGCTTTATGCAGTAATTAGTCAGCACAAACCAAACATCATCCCTGGCTTAAAGCTGCATTGTTTAACTTTTCTGGGGGGTCCATCAAACGTTTTCTCAGTGGAGATGTTACTGCTTTGTCTGGAATGTTTCACAGTATGACATTAAATCTTTATGGAGACCAAACCAGACCAAGTTAGAGGTCAGATCAATGTAAGGTAGAGCTGTTTAACGTCAATGACATCTTAATCTTAAAACACTTTATGGACCCTCCATCAGAAAAGTTGCACAATGTACCAATGCACCAAAAACTAATACGCCAACAAGTAAAAATATACTTTAAATATATCGATCTGTCTCTAGTTAAAAGTAGTCCAGGACTGAATGGAATAATATAACCTGTTGGTGGTCATAATGTTATGGTTGATGAGTATTGTTACACATTGTTGTTATGTGCTTTCTTAGCTCTACAAATTAATCCATAATTGACCAAACTATTTTTCCTCACATCACCACGGTAACGATTATAGCCATGACGACAGCAGGAGCTATAGATTGCATTTGATTATGGAAAACCAGAGCTGTTCTTAGCACCTTTCTGTCTTTGCTGTTGTTTGCCAAATACAACTGAACATTCTCATCCCTTCAGGAGGCAGGTAGTAGGACCGCTTCCCTTAAACGCTCCAATCAGATTAAAGGTCTTCGCCACTCGCGATCGGTGAGAAATCCAACGAAATTCCACTCTCTTCTCCTCCTCCGTCGCCGTCATTGCCATCCAAAACAAAACCAAAACAAACATGGATAATTTTCGTTCTTTTTGGCACGTCTCTCCTCCCATCCACTATCTATCTAAGGAACGCCAGATAGATAAACATCCCATAAGACATCGCCATGACTACCGCCGAGATTTCATTTTCGACATTGTGCGGATCAGCTTATACTGTATTTCTGATCTTCATTACAAAGTGTTACGCACGGAGCTATCTCTCCCTTTTCTTTTCTTTTTTTTTTTTTCTATTTCAAATCTCATTCTCGATGCATGTACTGTACTCTATATTTTTTCAATTGCTCCTCATTGAAACCATCACGACGGAAACCGCATTTCCCATGGAGCCTTGCATGTTGTTGGGCCAATTAGCGTAGCATCATGTGGGTAGCTGCTGCAGTATGACTTTCCCCCCATTGCATTAGCGGTGTTCTTTGTTTTTCCAAAGCCTCATGTGCAGTATTGTGGTGTAAAACCTCGGATCTCTCTTCTGTTGTCACTCTAGTTGACTAAAGAAATTCTTGGTCAACTAACAAACATGTCCTGAAGATCGAAAAGGGGGCGTGGCAAAAGCTCTCAAAACTTACTTAAACTGCACTCACAAGCCGACACCTGCACAGGAGTTCATGCAAAAACAACTATTTATACACAGAAAGTACTAGGAAAAACTGTACTTGCGATGTAGACAGATTAAACTTGTGAATCATGAGTTTAATCTGTCTTTTTTACATATTCAGCTCTGGAAAAAAATAAGATCAGTTTCTCTGATTTTACTACTTATAGGTATGTGTTTGAGTAAAATGTTTGAATTTACTGGCAACATTTCTCCCAAATTCCAAATAAAAATGTTGTTATTTCGAGTATTTATTTGCAGAAAATGACAAATGGTCAAAATAACAAAAAAGATGCAATGTTTTCACACTTCAAATAATGCGAAGAAAAGATCATATTCATTTTAAAACAACACAATACTAATGTTTTAACTTAGGAAGAGTTCAGAAATCAATATTTGGTGGAATTACCCTGATTTGTAATCCACCGCTCTTTCGCATCGTTCTTGGGTGACTTTATTCCACTCCTGGTGCAAGAATTCAAGTAGCTCGGCTTTATTTGATGACTTGTGACCATCCATCTTCCTCTTGATCACATTCCAGAGTTATTCAATGGGGTTCAGGTCTGGAGATTAGGTTGGCCATGACAGGGTCTTGATCTGGTGGTCCTTCATCCACACCTTGATTGACTTATCTGTGTGGCATGGAGCATTGTTCTGCTGGGAAAAAAAAACAATCCTCGGAGTTGGGGAACATTGTCAGCAGAAGGAAGAAAGTTCTCTTATTTTTTTCCAGAGCTGTAAATACTAAAAAACAATACAAAATCTTTAGACCCATCATCATAACAGAACTTTATGCCTCTGACTTTAAAATAGACAGCATCATTAAAAATATTCATCTGCAACAAATAAATAAGCCATAGAGGGTACTTTATCTATGCTCCACAGCTCAAATCTGAAACTCCTTACATAAAAATGGCAAAAATCTCCTCACTGAAAAGAAAAAGTACCTCAAAGTATATTGTTCCAGCTTTCGCATATTGAATGATAAGTCAACATTGTAATTTTTGTGATAGGCATAGTTCTTCTGAGCGATTAGTCGACTAAAAGGGGGAGCTTGGCAAAAGATTACACCTGCACAGGAATTCATTCAAAAAGAACACAGACTGTGTGAAATGGGCATAGCTCCTCACAATGCACCTTTAAACAAAACCAAAAAAGACTCAGAACTAGTTGATAAATTATGTATTGAATCACCCCAGTTTATGTATGACTTTTTCTTAAATATTCATGTCAGTGCAGTTGTTATTCCATTTTTCTGCTGCAATACAGAAAATACAGAAGCAACAGTCCGTCTCACTGGTCCTATGAATAAAAAACACAAATATTATACAGTCCTGCTGCAGCTCCTGAGACCAGCACAACCCAGAGACAGAGGGTTTTTAAAAGTGCATTATGTAACTTTTCTTATGCGGCATGGAGATATTGTCTTGCCTCTCTAACACTCAATTTCCTGTAATTTTCGACATATAATTCAACTTCTCTTCACAAATTTCTTCTTGATTGGTGTAAAACTATAATTTATATTTACAACAAGTGTTATCCCACCAAATCGTCAACATTTAAACTTATCTTAAAGTTGTTTTTATTATCAAAATACACTGAAAAACACATTCCTATTATGGTTAGGGTCGCCTATCCACAGGTCTGACCCGTAATTTGGCATCGCCTCCTCATCTCCATGGAAACAGATCTCATTTAATGCCACACTGTTTAATACTGGTTCTATTTACCCACCGTAAGAAAAGGTGCATAGTGCTCCAGACCTAATCGTGGTTTTAAGTTTCCTTTTGTCTGAGACCTGTTGAGGACAGTTTTTTTTCATTCTGGAACCCATAGATTTACAGGTTCAGATCATTGGTTTCAGAATGGAGAAATATGAGGGGCGTTACCATAGCAAATAACAATTTAAAACAAAAAATATCACCTATAACAATAAGCGAAAACCCTGAAGTACAAGCTTATATACAGGCCTATATACAGGATCACATCATGGGTTTCAAAGTGATAATTATAAACAAAATATGATGTCTTTTGAATTGTAAAGAGTCCTCAAAATGTCACCTAACAGGAAGCTAAAACCCCATAATACAGACTTTTTATCCATAGACTGGCCCATAAGTGGTCAGTGACAGATGGGTGTGGGCCTGCAGTCTTGTTCTGACCTTTTAGCAGCTCCATCTGAAGTCACTTTAAGGTGCCTCAGAGCGCTCGCCATCCATCTCGACGACATGTGCAAAGATAAACCACTAAAAGCCCTGGTCTGGACCCGCCCCAGACGTCACCGCAGCGACCCCAGTACCCCCAAGTCTGCCCCAAGTCTGCACCGAGGCATCTGTCACTCTCGGACAAACGGGTGGTTAGTCCAGACTAGACTTTAGTGCGGTTTTGCCTGTTTCCATGGCGCTAGCATGACGCGTCACCATCTCACTGCACGGGAGTGTTCCTCACGTGTGTTGATACTTTGCAGTGACATCGCACTGGGGGTGTTCTACATCTATGTCTGTTGGTGGAATGTTCAGGAGATACCAAACACAGGCAAAAAGTAGAAACAGTTGGTTGAAAATTGGTTGAAAATTCAATAGCACATTTTAAGGAGCCAGTGGTCAATACGAGTGTTCATGGTCCTGTTTAGGAGTTTGATTTTCAATAAAAAGGTGAGAGTGACTAACTAGCCTGTGACTATAATTTTATTTGTAAAAGTTTTATTTGTTTAACAGCACAAATCATCTCACTTATTGAAGTTTCAACTGAGTTAGCTCTTTCTGGTCAGATTGTGTTAAAATAAAACTCAGATTAAGTCTAACCTGAGGGCTTTAGACAGAGTAGTACTTTCTGTTAGCGTCACACCCCCAGGGAATGATGATCACATCAGCTGCAAAGTATCAGTACTGTATCTGTGTGTTGTCATGGTGATAATGGGTTTGTGGTTGTCTCCAGGCGGACCCTGCGCACGGCCACACTAACATCCTGCTCACCACCCTGGAGATCCACAACGAGGTGGCCGGGGGCGAGATCACCACCAGCGTGGCGGACATCAGGAACTCCCAGTCCATGGTGCAGCTGGACAGCTCCGCCTCTCAGCACATCCAGTACCGTAAACAGGGCGGAGGCATCGGGCCGCGCTCCGCAAGCCGCCACTCTCTGGACCGCAGCGCCCAGAAACGCAGCCGACTGCGCAGACGCTCGTCTCAGCTCAAAATCAAAATCCCCGACCTAACAGACGTGAACGCCATCGACCGCTGGTCACGCGTCATCTTCCCCTCCGTGTTCTCCTTCTTCAACCTGGTCTACTGGCTCTATTACGTCTGAGTGACTCTGTCCTGATCCTTTGCTTTTCTACGAGATGAAGAGACTGCATCTACAGCACAAACACTGAGGCTGCATCCGGACCAAGTTCTCCACTCGTTTTTATATCGAGTCGTCAAACCCCTCCTCTTTTGGTTTCTGACATATGTACTGTGATCAGGACTTGTGGCCATCGTCTCCCCGCCTCCCTCTGTGTAAATAGATATGAAGCCAGCAATGAGTAATATCGCTGTATGAGCAAAAAAGAGGATTGAGTTTTTCTAATCAGAGAGATTAGTCTTTATATTCTACAGGTGGTCAGAGAAGTGCAAGCAGTTAAACCCATCAAACTAGTTTGAGTGGAACCCTATGCATAAGTATTGCATGCAATGATCAACCGTCTGTAGAGCCGACTCCTCCTGCCTTTGTTTAAGACACACTCTCTGTGCACATGTGACAGATCTAGGACTAATCATTTCCTTTTTGGACGACACAAACTTAATATGCAGAAAATCTGGTCACAAATTCAATAGTTACTATGGTGACTCAGGTGTTTACGTTTACAGCTTGGGGCACAAAGATTTACATTTTTGAAAGCACAAAAGTTGAGCAAACTGCCATTTTTCACTTTCCAGAGTTTCAGAATCAAAGTAAGTGAGATTTATTAGACCTCTGCTAAAACACATTTACAATTTCCCAACAACTGCCAAGGGCCTTTTGGGCGACAGTTTCTCAACCGAAAATATTGGAATATTTTTGTACTCTCGTCTTCAGGTATTCATTTCTTCCCTGAAATGTCTCTCTTTTGTTGATTTGTTTTGGCTGGAGAAGCTGACGCTGGGTGAACTTGAGGAATGAAACTGTACATAAGTACATAAGTGTGTATATACGTACATGTATATATCTAAATATATGATGAGTGTATGACCCAAAACGATGTTGAGCATTTGTGATTGTCAGACTGGCAAAAACTGTCAGGAGATTTAGTGCAAAAAAGAACAAATAAGGTGAAATGGACTATTGTAGTGATGGATTTTTGGAAAGCACCCAATAGACGCTGAAAGGTCATTGTGTATTTGCGAGCACCTGATTCTGGCTGGTGTTGCAAATGTATCTCATGTTAAAGGCTCGTTTATGCTCCACATTCTAGACACATACAGATACGCATAGAGACTTCTGTCCGTCCTCTGCGTAGTTCTGTCCGTTTCCTCAGAGCATGTGAAATCTGAGCAACAGAGCTATACCTGAGCTGGCCACTGGGGGCAGTAGTGAACACAGCTCGACAGTGGAGGCTAAACTTTTTACAAAATAACAAGAACCAGCTGCAAAACAAGTAAATACTATTCTCTTTTCCTACAGATGCGATCTAAACACTTCTGTGGGTGCCTCCATGTTTGTTTATTTGTTGCTCTATTTTGTCTGTTTTGGTCAATTGTCAAACTGACTTCTATCGCCCTCTGGTGATTGTTAAGAGAACACAGTCTTGACATCAGAAATATTTGGAAGCATAACCGCAGTGACGGTAACTAAGCTTGGAATGCACAGATGTGTTAATGTACGAAAGTGGAGCTTAAATGGGCCTTAAAGTGCATTGTGTAACTTTGCTGTCGGGAGGGCCTGTCGAGGGCCTGTCCATGGAGATGTTACTGCTTTGTCTAGAATGTTTCACAGTATGACATTAAACATTTCTATTTTCATGGAGACCAAACCAGACCAAGTTACAGGTCAGATCTGTGGAGAGGCGACCCGCACACAGTCAGAATGCCTTTTTTGTGGTATTTTTGAGTTATAAATGTAAAGTAGAGCTGTTTAATGTCATACTGTGGAGCATTCCAGGCAGAGCAAAGACTATCCATAGAAACAAGCAGGTGACAGACCCCCAACCAAAAAGTTACGCAGTACACCTTTAACTTACCACCAATAAAGCACATAAAGCATTGAATGTACCCACCCATTGTTCAGGGAGAGAGGATAACGAGCCATGGTCATCATCATCTTCTTCTCCATCTTCTGTATTGGAATGTAACTCACCCGTTGCTAGTGGCGACGACGATGGGGGCGTGGACGAGGGGGGAAGCTATGTTGTTTTCGAGGAAGTGTGCATGTGCATGTGTGTGAGAGAGGGGGTGCACTGGTTCCACCGAAAAACCTGGGATTTTTTCTGTTTCTGTGCTGCTCGTGCTACAATGGACAAACGTCAACTTATAGTAGTAACTCTATGGTCCAAAACTAGCTCTTTTTTTTGACTGTCCCATCCTACCACTTCTCGCAGTCAAACACATCTGACAATTTAAGCATCTCTTCCGCCGTCATGGAAACTGCATGCATAACAATGAAGTAAGATAAGGGGTAAGCGAGTGGCGTTGTTTTCGGAAAGGTGACATTTCAACTTAAAGTTTCATTTGAAAAGACAATTTGCTGAATGTACTGTACTTGGAATGTTGATTTGCTTCCAAAACTCTGCTCCACGTAGGGCTGTGTAACTTTATGTCCTGTTTATAAAGATGGGCCAACTGACAGATGATACTGATACATAGAGACATGCACATCCAGTAAAAGTTGCAACTGTGCACTTTTATTGGATAACATCTGCACTGCAGTTCTTTAAAGCTCCCAAATTTTTATTTCAATAACATCAAAATGTGATGTTTCTAGTCAAAGTCCTTCTTCAAACATGAAAGGTTAAGTTTCACACCTGTTATATATGTATTTAGGCCCAGGTCTAGTCACCTGACCCATGTGATCAGTCCCAGTATCAAAAAAAGTTTATCATAATTGCTGAATGAAATCTTCAGTATCTTCAATTTATTGGTTTGCCACAGCTAAAAGTACTACAAAAGCAATTTAGTACTACAATACAAATAAAAAACATGGAAGATATTTGCATCAGCACTGCAGATATGGAAGTATCATTGTAGGCACACATACTGAAGTGAAGATGTCAAAATTTTGAGTCACAAAAACGACAAATTCACATTATAAAATGCAAACTGTCAAGTAATTTTCTTTATTCAACACATTTATAACAACTAGGGATGGGCATGATTAGTCGATTAATCGATAATTGATTATTAAGAATTTCATCGATTACAGTTAATTTTAATCGACAAACCGAATGTAGGTTGCTGTGTGTAGCGTGACCAAACAGGGGTCCGTACATGTAGCTCTTTGCACTCAGAAGGAGCGAGCAAACACAAACGGTCGGTCAGTCTGCAACGTACCGAAGCACAAATGTGTATTTAACGATGACTTGCACAAGAAAATCCACAGCACAAATGTGTATTTAACGATGACTTATACAAGAAAATCCACAGCACAAAATGTGTATTTAACGATGACTTGCACAAGAAAATCCACAGCACAAAAGTGTATTTAACGATGACTTGCACAAGAAAATCCACAGCACAAATGTGTATTTAACGAGGACTTGCACAAGAAAATCCACAAGCACAAATGTGTATTTAACGAAGGACTTGCACAAGAAAATCCACGCTTTCCGTTGCGTTCGGGACAAGTGTGAGGCCATGTGCACAGTGTACAAAGCAGCACATATGTTTCGGTGTCCAGTGGGAAAAAGCTTTACCAGGTGAGAGTCGAGCAATGTCAATGATGAGTCCCCACCTCCCTCCCCCCGTACGGTGTCCTGGTTTTGACAAACGCAAATCTGGTCACACTAACCTGTATTCCACTGAGTCATGTCTTTTAATCCAACAGAAATTGACCGCATCAGTCACACAAGAGCTGTAGTTTTATCTTCGCTTAGTTTATGCAAATTAGCGATGCGGTTTTAAGTTTCGTTTCTGTAAGAGTTGCGCAAAACTGAATTAAACACATTATAATGTCAAACGGATTGATGTGGCTCTAGAGTTGTGACGGTTTATATGTCGTAAAGTTGAATTTATTTATGCAGATTAGTAGTGCAGATAGTAATAATAATGATGATAATTTTAATATAAAAACGTTAATGATTAATCGATAATCAATCGTTAATTCTTCCGACGATTGATTAAGAAAATTTCATCGAATGCCCATCCCTAATAACAGCCATAACAAGCTGCACCAAAGTACTTTACAACAAGAAACATCACATAATAAAACAATAAAACAAATAATATATTAAATAATACATGAAAAAGTAGCTGAATACACAAAGATAAAATGTGTTCTATAATTTTTTGTCAAAACTTTCTAAATTACATTATAACATCAACCAATATACTGTAGATTTTGTAAATTTTTATTATAACCAAATTCTTGTTCATTGATAAATTACAAAGTGACTTCCTCTATAGAAAATATTAGGGCTTGTCACCGATAATAACTATTTGCATTTTGATCATTTTATTAAAGAGAGAGATGTTATTAAAGCTGACCTAATAATCAAAATAGACTTTTCAGAGCGTTTAATTGTGTTATATTTGTTTCTCCTCACTTTTCACCCAAAGTTGTATTTGGAGTGAGTCTTGCATTTTTCAGTAATCTTGAATTACTTCATTTTTAAGATGCCATTATGCTCTGTATAGAGCTATATGAGTTGGATTCGGCAATGTTGCTTTGTTTTTAGTACTTTTTTTTGGTATCTGCTAATATTTTTTTTTATCTGCTACATCTACTTTTGTTTATCTGCTACATACTTGCGTAATCCAGGTGCCCACAACTTCATGGCTCTTACTGTGACATCAGGTCCCATTGGGAACTGCAGTTTTCTAATGCGGAAATCAGATGACTTTTTTCCTTTTATTAATTCATTTTAGATGAATATTGCGATTTAAAATGTCCAAATGATAACACAAAGGTCCGCGGGTGTCGTAGATAGATGGTATACATAAGGACAATAGGTCTTCTTTAAATCAAAATGTCAAAACAGAACAACAGAAGCCTTCAGTCACCAAATTTTAATGTGTATTTGATAAAAAATTATATGAAAATGCTTAGAAATGTTATTGTGGTTGTCCTTTGGTCCAAGTTTATACACAGGCCATGGGGTTCAGTTTATGTGTATGGCTATGTGCAGCTATTGAATG